ACCATCATTAGCAGATCCTGCCAACAACCCAATTATTTCGTGTAACATAACTGAACTTTAGAAGATAAATTTTAGAGAATTCATCTTTCATTGTCATCTCTTTCTTGATCAACATGAAGACAAAACACTGTGCCAAGAGAACAAAAAAAGTTATCCATTTATGATTTTAGGTATTTGATAGCAAATGAGCCTAAGATGTACCCTGAATATTGATTATTGTATAAAGTCATCAGTTAGGGGGTTACTATTTGATTAAATTCTTTTCTTTACATACTTTAGTTTTGAAATTGAGCTACCATTTAACAAATCATAACTTTTAAAAGCTGCTTTCTAATGCACAATAAGTGCATGATATGAACCCTATTATAATACTGGCACTTCACACAAGGTGCTCTTTACACATTTTTTCATTTGTATCTTGGCTGTATCTTGCTTCTCTTCTGGAATTAGGTCAACATGACAATGATGAAAATAATTCTATCTTTCAATTATATTCAGAGTGTGTAGAATGCATTTATTTCAGTCATTTAAAATTATTCTTATAATATTCTTATGGGATGGAAAAAATATGTATGAATGCATAATTTACAACAGGAAATATAGGACATGGAATTCTAATACTATTTTCAAAGGCAAAATAAGAACCCAGACCACTAAATCCTGGGTCAGGATACTTATCTTTATACTACTGTTTTATAAGCTAAGTGTTATTACAAGTTTAGGCTGTCACCAACCATGAGGCCTATTATAACTACAAACTAAAAGAAATACATTATGATACTTTAAATTTTCTAAAAAAAAATAAATTTAATTCAATTAACTTTGGGTATTCTCATGTTCACATTTGCTTGTGTTAATAAGAAGACAAATAAATTGTACAGAACTCCAGATTGAATCCAGAGAATTTGTCATGAAGGAAGAGTTTATGAATGTTGAAATCACATGACCAAACCTAGTTTGACTAGAGCCTTTAATATGATAGTGCCATAACAACATTTGTGATGGCAGATGCCAAAGAAAATCTGAATGAGGATTTAAAACCATCTAAACAATTGTGAGAAATACGGATTTTGTTAAAGTATTATAGTCAAAATCTCTTGACTCTTTCATATCTGAAATAAAAGCCAGATTCATATCAGAGAATTAGCATGTACTGACAGAGTCATCATTCCTAACCAATAAAAAGTTGAAATCCATTCACAACAGCCCATTGAGTGGTCATCCAGTCTCTACTTAAATAGCTACTGTGCTGATAGAGTGGTTGTTTTAGAATCCCTACACCTGTGTATTCCAGCTCCCCAGAGGCTAGAGTAGCATGCTATGGATAGAGACTGTTTGATGTAAATCTGAAAATGTTGTCTATGAAAGAAATTTTTCAAAAAAAGTAGTGCCTGGAATTATATCAGGAAATTCTGTTTTTAGAATACAAATTCAAGGGCAGAATGTAGTAAAGCCCTGGACAAAGAGCCACTCAGACTCTCAAATTTGAGCAATAAACTGGAATGAAAGTAAAAGTTATTGTATAAATGGATAATATCACAGTTGATCAGAAACTAGGTGAGGGATGGTATGACTTTTGGTAGGTCCTAATTTCAAAAAAGTCCATCTACCTGCCAGTGTTCTTATGGGCATCTTCATGCTTTTCAATAGGTAGGGAAACATGTCCTCAAAGTAACAAAGCACACAGTGTAGAGTGCATATTGTATTAGTACATTCCGAAGACTTCCTGGTAGGATATCTAAGTTGTTTACCAGGAATGGAAAACTTTGGGGAGGTGGGCTGTGGTCTCATAACTCCTCCAATTTTACTACTAATTGAAGTAGAAGTTAATATAAACATTTACAACAATAAACACATTGACTTGACAGAATCACAGAACTTGGAAACACCTTTCAATTACTTAAATAAACCTCATGTAGAAATAGGGAAATCTGCTAAATTTATAGAGGAAGATGAGGGCATTGTGTGAAATAATACTCATGTCTCCTGATCCTGAAGGTAGTGTTCTTACTCGTTGTTACAACTTCAAAACCTTAAAATGTTTGCTAAATATTGTTAGATCACAGAATCCATTGACTTCTTAAATTAGAAATACAGTACCCATGAAGTGAGAAGCTAGATCATTATGTCAAAAGAGGCATGAATGCAAAAGACACTAAGCCTTTTCTGACCAGCTCATTGATAAGTGTGAGGTCAAATGTAGATAAAAGTGTCCTCCTTTTAAAGAAGAAAATCATAAAGTAAGATTTATATCCATTTTGTGGAGAAGAATACAAAAATTTTTGAGACACCATTCAATCCTTCACAATATGTGTTTTATTCTGGATAGGAAAACAAGATTTTAAAACATGCAGTATTCCTAAAATAAATAGGTAGTGTCATGACATTCTAAATATATTTCATTGGATGTTTTCTACCTTTGCCAAATGAGCCTAAAGCTTAGATGAAGAGGAAACTGTTGGGGAGAAGAGTAGAAATTGTCCCAAAATTGAACGTTCTAGACGGTGTGAAACCTGACAGAATAAATGGAAAAAATTCAAATTATTACTGAAATCAATATTTATGTTGCCAGGTTTTAAAGTGCACTTAAAAAATGTTTGAAAGTTAAGTCATTGGAAATGTATGGAATTTTACCACAGTGATATGATAGAGCACATGAAAAAATGGAAGAAAAAACAACACCTGTATGTAAAGCACTCATAACTATAACATAAATAACTAACAAAGTTAATATTTGTAGCAAATTTAAATATGTTTTATGTATTTGTATATTAAATATGTACTTAATGTAGATAGAGTCAATCAGAATTTTCAGTAAAAATTCCCTTCAATAGATCAAGAATTCAAGTAGTCGACACAATCTATAGAGTTGTTTCTATGTTCCATACATTGTGCAAGGAAAAGAGAACACAGACAACTAAGTAACTTTTCATGACCTCAGGGAAATTACACATCAATAAACATCGAGTTTAGCATACTAACAGACTTTTATCTCTTCATTTGATATCTACCCAAAGTTGAAAATTAAAGTTCAATCTTTGTCCTTCTGTGTTGCTATTACAGAATATCATGGACTGGATGATTTAAACCATACACACTTATTTTTCACAGGTAGGGAGGCTCAGAAGCCCAAGATTAATGTCCCAGAAGATTCCCAGAGCTGGGGAGGTCCCCTTCCTAGTTCATGAAGTGAAGTGAAGTGAAGTCGCTCAGTCGTGTCCGACTCTTTGCGAGCCCATGGGTGGAGAAGCCTCTGTGTTCCCCCAGGCAAGATTACTGGAATGGATTTTCCAGGCAAGAGTACTGGAATGGGCTGTCATTTCTTTCTCTAGAGGATCTTCCCAAGCCAGGAATCAAATCCAGGTCTCCCGCATTGTAGGCAGACACTTTACCATCTGAGCTACCAGGGAAGTTTATAGACTGCCCTTTTTTCCTATGTCCTCACATGACAGAAGGGTCAAGTGAAGTCTCTGAAGTCTCTTTATAAGGACATTAACTTCACTTGTCAGGGAACAACCTTCATTAGCTAACATTTCCTAAAGCTCCTCTCCAACTTCACCACATTAAAAAGGAACTTATTTATGATTTTGGAGAGGGACACACATTTTCAGTCTACAACAGTACCTGAAACTGGAGAAATAAATTACAGAACATCTGATCGACCCAAATGATTGGTTCTATTTAGTGAATAGTATCGTGTTTGAGAATTCTTTGAGATAATGTAAGGAATCTTCATGTAACAGTGATGAAAAATTGAGATAGAATGTTTTTCTCATACACTGTGATTTATTAAAAACACCCACCACTTCATAGCTATAGTCCCTCATGAATTCAGACTAAGTAAGGGAGGAAGAATAATAAGCTTCTTTGACCACATGATTCTACCTAGAAGTGGATGATATTTTGCTTCAAATTTGATTCAGAGAGGCAGAGAATTTATGAAAGAGGACTTTGCTAAATAAAGCAATATATTCTGACCTCTTTATTACCTAGTAATTTGTATTTTATTAATGAACTATAAGAATAGCATATGCTGTTACCATTTTTAATGTCTACATCACCCAAATTATCTTGTATCAAGCTCTATAGTTCATCTTTGAAGTTCATGGATTATGGTTTATGCAAAATTTACACATGAAAGTCAGAATCTGGCCCTCCATAGACACCTATGTAAAACTATAAGCAAAAAAGGTGATGGAGATACTGAAAAATAGCAGAAGTATTGTTGGATATTCTAAACTAGATGGAAATATTACTGGATCATCTCTATGAAAATATAGTGCAAACAAATCTGTTCTACTTGAGATATTTTGATTACCCAGTTGGGAATATCAGTAAGATTTGCTTATTTATCTATATTTGCACTTTGTTCATTTAGATTATTTTTATAAATTTACCCTTCTTATGATTAAAATATAGAACTCTGAAACATCATTCTCCTTTGATGTTACCATTTTAAGCAATATAAAGAAAAATATATGCAAAATATCTTGCAGATATAAAACACAATATATATCTCTTATATTAATACAGGTGGCTATGTGTAGAGAAGAATCAAGGAAATTTTTATGTTACATATTTTTTTTCTGAAATCTGGAATGTGTTCTATCAAATCTGAAAAAGATTACAATATTTATTTATAGGAAAACCATGAGAAAATCAATAAGAACAATATATTTAAAGTACTAACTCTTGTTTACCTCATCATAGAGAAGATAAATCAATAGAATGAATAGTGACATTTTATACACCCAACTGTATGTATTTTCTAAGAAACTGAAAATCTTAACAATGTTATTTCAAAATCAATATATACTTTGGACTAGGAAATAATGAAAATCTTTAAAGTATGCTGTGATGATTGGAAGCATTCATGTAAATGTTCAGGCATACTTCTTTTTAAATCTGAGATGCTTACTACAGTTAAGTAATCACAAAAGACTTTCATGGAAAGACTATTCTTCACTGACAATAGGTGATATGTTTCTCTACTGCCTGCCTTATTTTCTTTTTCTGATCCAGAGCTTTTTCATGGCATTTTTCATCTCTCCATTTCTCAGAGTATAGATTAGAGGGTTCAGCATAGGGGTGATAATGGTATAAAACACAGTTAAGGATTTATCAATGGGTAAGGTGGAAGGAGGTCTCACATACATAAAAATACAGGGCACAAAGAAGAGGACAACCACAGTAATGTGGGAGCCACAGGTGGATAAGGCTTTGTGCCTGCCTTCCTGGCTAAGATTCTTCAGGGAGTACAGAATGACCCCATAGGAGATGAGTAACAGTGTGAAGATAACCATACAGATCGCCCCATCATTGGCCAGCACTATGAGAGCAATAACATGGGTGTCAGCGCAGGCAAGTTCTAACAAGGGGTACATGTCACAGATGAAGTGGTCAATGACATTTGGGCCACAATAGGGAAGGTTGTAAACAGAGAGAGGATGAATTACAGCATGCAAAAACCCACCAACCCAGGCCAAGAGTAGCAGCAAGGAACACACTCGCTTATTCATGATTGTCAGATAATGCAAGGGTTTACAGATGGCCACATAGCGGTCATAGGCCATGACCACCAGGAGGCATATATCAGCGCCACCAAATAAGTGTCCGATAAACAGCTGGGTCATACAAGCTTGGAAGGAAATGGTTTTCTTCTCACACAGCAAGTCTATAATCATATTTGGAGTGACTGTAGTTGAATAAACAGCATCCATAAATGATAAGTAGCCAAGAAAGAAGTACATAGGGGCATCCAGTGTTGAGCTGACCACCACAGTCATGACAATGAGTAAGTTGCCCACCATTGTCACAATGTAGATAAGCAGGAAAATGACAAATAATATTTTCTGACCCTGGACACTCTGAGTGAGCCCCAAGAGGACAAACTCCGTTACGTTTTTCCTTTGTTCCATAGATCTTTCTGTATATCTTTTTTCACTATTCAAGAAAAAGTTATCTGTAAATAAACTTATTAATAGTGATTTTCCTAAGTCTTAAGATATGTGTTTATTCATTTAACCAATGGGCTGTATGGTTCATAATAATGATCCAGTATTTTCAGAGATTATAATACAAATCTGCTTAAAACACTGTCCCAAACCTCAAATCTTACACAGAAGCAAGTTATCAAGATACATTAGTAAGAAAAGAGCAAAATTTAAGTAAATGTTTTGCCACAGTCTCTTTCTACCCAGAAGCTAATAAAATTGCACAAATAATTATTACCTTATAAATAATAATTAAAACTTTAATTAAAAAGTAAAGCAATATTTTCTTTATTTTTTTCCATTTATTAAAGAGATAACTTTCTCCATTCTAGGTGTGGAAAAATCTTCTTAACCAATCACTTGTCATTTCAAATAGCTATATTTGACAATTTCAAATTTACTTATTAGGATTTAGGAAAACATACAATAATGTCAATTGGCAAAAGTAGTTTTTTGAAAGACTTACATTTTAGGAGATACACATAGAGTTAATATCCAAAACAGATACATGTTTCTAAGCAGTTCACAAATTAAAAAGGTAAAAAGCATATATAAAATAAATTTAAATTACCAACATCCAATTAAAGAAGAATACATCTAAATGTACAAGAAGCATATGATAGGATGCTGAAGCTCATCTGTGAACAGAAAAGTTGGAATTGAAGTAATGGTTTGTTGACTATAGTATTATTTGTTTTCTTGAAAATCACTGAATCAGGGTTTACAGATGCTATATCATCTTTAATTTTCAACAGATTAACATACAATGTTTAGAGACCATGTTAATTGAAACTTTACATATATCTACCCATAAAATATCTCCAAATTATTACTCTTGAAATTAATTTCTAAGAAAACTTTGTTAGAGAAGAAAATTTTATTCCGGAAGAATATGAAAACATCCAAAAAGAGTATTGCAAAATAGCATCAATCTCCATATATTTCAGTAATCACAAAAGATTCTTAACACAGTTGATTATGAAAATCACAAAGAAAACATCCTGAAAGACTGAATTCTTACACCACCATTATACTCTTGCACACTGGAAAACCTAGTTCAGAATCTTATATATAAACACATTTCCTGAATTACCTACATAAGAAGACAACCTGTCCTTCCATGTCCAGGACTCGGATGCTCTCCTGTCCTTCATGCACTGATGCAACTCTGTGAACACACGCAGCCAGATACAAGCAACATCACTGGACTTTGAACTCTTTCCATGTGACCAACAGTATTCTTGCTTGCAGAAAATCTAATTCATCACAGACATCCACCAAAACTAACTTTAAAATTGTTTGGGTTTTCTAATTGAATGTGAATGTGCTGTTACCTAAAGAATTCTGAATTTTGATGGTGAACAGAGACCCAAAATAATTATTAATGGCAGGATTTGTCCTGAACACATTTTGGTTGGAGAGAAAACTGGAAATTGTATATAAATTGTTTACACAAAAATGTTGGTATTTGTGTTTTATGTCAATCAAAGTGAAATAATGAAATAGTCTTTACAATATTTTGATTCTCCATCAATTATAAAGCCCTCTCTTCGTCACTGAACTGTGAGTTTCCTGAAGGATGGCAACTAATTTCACTTACATACTTTATTACATTTTGAGTCAACTATCTAAACTCCTGAAAGTCTGTCATGTCAAGTAAGGGAAAAGGTCCACAAAAACATTATCTATATTTGAAATACTGCACATATTATTGAGTCATTCAACTGGTTTATCTCCAAGGATGATTCTTATCTAATTAAATTCATTGGGACCTGAATCATAAATTTGATGGCACACTCAGAATTACCTCCAAAGATGCCAACAGGGTAATCACCAGGTAGAACAGGACTTAGAGAACGCTGTCCTCTTGGGGAAAAGTACAAAAAAAAACATGAGGTCATTTCACCACAAGGGAAGATTTCAGTCTCAGTGGAAATGAAATGGTTTCATTGTTTAAACTGTGACCTATTAAAATAAGCATATTTATTTAAGTTTAATCTTTGTTTTTGAAAATGTTATCTGATCAGATTTCCAGAAAATGATGAATGCTAATTTCAGAACAAATAATTTAAAACCCATTTCAAATGTAGATAGATTTTTCACATAGTTTGTCACATAGTTTCAGACAGTCAAATTGACAGAATTTGTGTTAGGATGGAAAGGAGGAAAGAGAAAACATTTGTGGGAATATTATTCCATTCCTCTCCAAGTGCTCATGAGCCCACCAATGTACACAATAGACTAGACTAGGTTATGGCCTCATTGAAGTACATTTCAAATGAATTACAAAACAATTTTTAAAATGTATAAGGAAAATATCATATTTTTCAATAATTTACAAAGTAAGCAATAGGATCCTCATTAGTCCTCCATCATATTCTCTTTCTCTCTCTCTTCCTCCCTCCCCACAGCAAGGTCTATAGGACTACAATATGCAGTATTCTATTCCCAAAATTCTAGCTTACTTAGTTTCATCAAACCCTCAACTTCAAATCCTCAACTCATGACTCTATCAGGATCTTTTGAGTTATCTCTCTGTGTACCACCACATGGAAATCTTTTAAAGTAATAAACATGAAATGATAGAAAAATGAATCAATTTGTTTGTTTACCACCTTTCAGTGATCATTGTCATTGTTTTTCTGATATCTAGTGTTTTGCAAACAATTACATCATATTTTTCTGCATTGTTGCTTGTTTTTCAATAACTATACATGAATTTTTATAGCAGGTTTATTCATAATTTCAAATAACTGGAAATCATAAATATGTTATTAAATTATAAAGAAACAAGCTCTGATACATCCATGAAATTGAATACTGATTAGTAATAAAATGAATGAATTTTTGATAGACACAATAATATTCATAAATCTCAAATACATGATACAAAGAGCAAAAATAAAAGAATTTATATGACTGTATAGTATACATGATCTCACAAATAGAAAATGCAAAAAAAAAAAAAAAACCTACTAGAATTAGTAAACAAATCCAACAAAGTTGCAGGATAAAAGCTCAATATTTAAAAATTAATTACATTTACACTTGTGAACAATGATCTATCCTAATAAACTAAGAACATAGTTTTATTTGCAATAACATTAAAAAGAATAAAATATTTAGGAAAAAATTTAATCAAATAGGTACACTGAAAATGATCTGTACACTGAAAATTATATGATATGGATATAAATTCAAGACACAAATGGAGAGATATACTGTTATCATTAAATGAAGAGTAAATATTATTAAAATGTCATTTGCAACAACTTGGATGGACCTAGAGATTGTCATAATAAACAAAATCAGAAAGAGAAAGACAAATACAAAATAACATTACTTTTATATGTAATGACAAATATGGCACAAAGGAACTTATCTACGAAACAGAAACAGACTCATAGACCTAACAAACACACTTACAGCTGCCAAGAATGTAGGGGCTGGGAGAGGAATGAGTTTGGGATTATTAGAATGTTTACTACTATATAAAGAATGAATAAAAGGCAAGTTCCTGTTTTATAGTACAGAGAGCTATATTCAATATCCTCTGATAAGCCATAATGGAAAGCAATAGGAAAAACATGCAAAACTGAATAATTTTGCTGCATCACAGAAATTAACAAAACATTGTAAATTATACATAAGTAATATAAAATATAAGTTTTAAAAATGTAAAAATATTTACATCATCCAAATAAATCTACTCATTTATTTTTTCAAAGAAATACATTTTTCCAAAGAAATACAAATATAATCATACAACTCATATGAAAGCACATTAAAAACCCAAATAGCCAAAGAAATTTTGAGAATAAGAATACATGTAAAAAAAAAAAAAAAGATACACTATGGTTGTGATAAAAAAAATAAATAAATTAATTAATTAATTAAAAAAAAAAGAAATATGGGGACAGAAGTTTTGTTTTCAAAATTTATTACCAATATATAGTAATCAAAATACTCTAGTATTTACCTGAAAACACATCCATAGACCAATAAACAGAATAGAAAGCTCAGAAATAAACCCACGCTTACAGTCGTTACCTTTATTTATTTATTTTATTTGGAGACTAATTACTTTACAATATCATGGTGGTTTTTGACATACATTGACATGAATCAGCCATGGGTGTACATGTATTCCCATCCTGACCCCCCCCCACCTCCCTCTCCATCCCATCCTTCTGAGTTGTCCCAGTGCACTGGCTTTGAGTGCCCTGTTTTGTGCATCAAACTTGGACTGGTCCTCTATTTCACATATAGTAATACGCATGTTTCAATGTTATTCTCTTAGATCATCCCACCCTTGACTTCTTCCACAGGGTCCAAAAGAATGTTCTTTATATCTGTGTCTCTTTTGCTGTCTCGCACATAGGGTCATCATTACCATCTTTCTAAATTCCACACATATGCATTAATATATCATATTGGTGTTTTTCTTTCTGACTTACTTCACTCTGTATAATAGGCTCCAGTTTCATCCACCTCATTAGAACTAACTCAAATGTGTCCTTTTTTATAGCTGAGTAATATACCATTGTGCATATGTACCACAACTTTCTTATTTATTCTTCTGCCAATGGACATCTATGTTGCTTCCATGTCCTAGCAATTGTGAACAGTGC